GTGCACATGTGTTTTTACTAGGGTTGTCAAGTGATTAAAGAAGTTTAACAATGCGACTAATCGCATTGTTAAACAATAGTAGAATACCATTTATTTAAATATTTTTGGATGTTTTCTACATATTCAAATATATTGATTTCAATTACAAACACAGAATATAAAGTGTACAGTGCTCACTTTGTTTATTTTTGATTACAAGAATTTGTACTGTAAAAAAAAAAATATTTTTTTCAATTCACCTAATACAAGTACCGTAGTGCAATCTCTTTATCATGAAAGTTCTACATTTGTAAGTTTAATTATGTACAAAAAAAACCCTGCATTAAAAAAATAAAACAATGTAAAATTTGAGACCCTGCAAGTCCATTCGGTCCTACTTCTTGTTCAGCCAATCGCTCAGACAAACAAGTTTGTTTTCATTTGCAGGAGATAATGCTGCCTGCTTCTTGTTTACAACATCACCTGAAAGTGAGAACAAGCATTCACATGGCACTGTTGTAGCCGGCGTCGCAAGATATTTATGTGCTAGATGCACTAAAGATTCATATGTCCCTTCATGCTTCAATCACCATTCCAGGGGACACATATCTCTGCCAATGACAGGTTCTGCTCGATAACAATCCAAAGCAGTGCAGACCAGTGCATGTTCATTTTCATTATCTGAGTCAGATGCCACCAGCAGAAGACTGATTTTCTTTTTTGGTGGTTCGGGTTCTGTACTTCCCGCATCGGACTGTTGTGCTTTTAAGATTTCTGAAAGCATGTTCCACATCTCGTCCCTCTCAGATTTTGGAAGGCACTTCAGATTCTTAAATCTTGGGTCGAGTGCTGTAGCTATCTTTAGAAATCTAACATTGGTACCTTCTTTGCGTTTTGTCAAATCTGCAGCAAAAGCGTTTTTAAAATAAACAACATGTGCTGGGTCATCATCCGAGACTGCTATAACATGAAATATATGGCAGAATGTGGGTAAAACAGAGCAGGGGACATACAATTCTCTCCCAAGGAGTTCAGTCACAAATTTAATTAACACATTTTTTTAACGAGCATCATCAGCATGGAAGCATGTCCTCTGGAATGGTGGCTGAAGCATGAAGGGGCATAAGAATGTTTAGCATATCTGGCACGTAAATATCTTGCAATGCCAGCTACAAAAGTGCCATACAAATGCCCAGTCTCACTTTCTGGTGACATTGTAAATAAGAAGAGGGCAGCATTATCTCTTGTAAATGTAAACAAACTTGTTTGTCTTAGCGATTGGCTGAACAAGAAATAGGACTGAGTGGACTTGTAGGCTCTGAAGTTTGACATTGTTTTGTTTTTGAGTGCAGTTATGTAACAAAAAAAAATCTACATTTATAAGTTTCACTTTCACGACAAAGGTTGCACTGCAGTACTTGTATGAGGTGAATTGAAAAATACTATTTTTATCATTTTTACAGTGTAAATATTTGTAATAAAAAATATATACTTTGATTTCAATTACAACACAGAATACAATATATATGAAAATGTAGAAAAACATCCAAACTATTTAATAAACTTCAATTGGTATTCTATTGTTTAATAGTGCTATTAAAACTACGATTAATTTTTTTGAGTAAATCGCATGAGTTAACTGTGATTAATTGACAGCCTTAGTTTTTACCTCTGTCTCATGCAGCCATAATCTGAGCAGGGATAGACAGGACAACACTAAAAATGCCCAAGCTTCCACCAGCAGAACCGCACCACTAGTGAATTTTGCATCCCATTTCCCCTAGAATAGATGATGCCGTGCTACAGAGACTAGTGGAGCTGATATGTTACAAAGGAGACAGTCTTTCTTCTATGACTGTGGCAGAAGCAGTGACTACTTCCTCTTTAGACTCTTGCTCTGGAATATTAATAAAATCAAGTGAATGCCAGGATGATAGAAGTCCTTGAGTTATACCTCCCTACTGCATACATAATCACGATGGTGGTCAGGAAGGCAGACGAATGAATGGGTAGACTTTGGTATTCTCTGTCCACAGTGCACGTTCTCTTTTCTTTGTGATCATGGGAGCATGCTGAAATGCTCCCCATTTCTCCCCCTTTATATTCTCTCATATCAGTAGGCCCCATGTCTGACCAGACTATCCTTCCAGTTGAGGAGGACAGCACTATACTTTATCTTCAGCTAGCCAGTGCCACTGCAGGTTTGGCTGGAAAGGTTTCTAGAGAGCTGCATACCCTGCCCTCTGCAGTCTAGGGCTCTTCCAGTGGGGTCGCTCATCAGCAAGAGCACCTCCTCTTGGCCAGACATGGTACAGCAGTCTCTTCAACTCTGGCCCCCTCTGTCAATAGTCCCTCCAAGCCTGTGGTGGTTTGCCCCTTCTTGCAACTCAGCCCTCCATCCAGGTACTTATAGTCTCTGTCCCTTCCAGAGTAGTAAGGAGTCCAACAAAGAAGAAGTCTAATGACCTTCTGCCAGGTTTTCAGCCCCACCCTGGACTCAATAGTCCATGTCCCCTTGCATCAGGGCAGCTTTTACATCTCTTTTCCAGGTAGCTGGTAGGGAGATCCTCCTGCAGTCCTCTGGGTTCCACCCCAGGCACCCTGTTTGAAGCAGCTTAGCCTGTTTCTTCGGACTCATTGCTGCTTCCCTGGGTCACTTCCTAGCTTCCTCTGCCTCTCAGCCCCTTTCACAGAGAGATTCATTCTAGTGCTTTGTCCCTGGAGGGTCCAGCTGCTTCCTGCCAGCTTACACTCGATGCAAAGCCATCCCCTTCTGCCTGGTCCATAAGCTTTTATCCTAGCTCTTGATGGTCCACAAGTTAGCTGCAGCTGAGGAGGTATTTATTCTGTCTCTTAACCCCTTAGTGGCTGTGGCAGGATAAGGTTAATGTACCTCATCATAGTTCTACATAGAATGTGCAAACTGCATCTGATATCTGATTGATGGCTGGTCAGGTTTCAGACCAGTTAATATTAGTGGACAGGTGTTCACATCATAGAAACCGCCATCAAGGCACCCTTGTTGGCAGTCTCACTGTGGCCAGGTCTACACTATTACTCCTGGGGGAATTCTGTGTCACTGCATGTGTGCAGAATTCATGGCCCCGCAGATTTCTTTGCTTACCCGCAGAAAAATGACTTCTGACTGGGAAGTAAAGGGAAGCCACAAGAGCGGTTATATGCCTACTCCCTGGCAGTGCAGACAGGTCGGTTTGGGCATCCAGAGCAGCTGGTAGATACACAAATCACCACTTGGGAGGAGTGGGGGCTGGGTAGTCATGTATATGAGAGAGACAGAGACACTCTGTCCCTCTTGCTAACTCTTGCAGCATGCTCAGCGTGGAGGGGCAGGGTTTGGGGGTATTTCTGAAGAGGTAGGCTTGGGGCAGGCTCTGTTGCCTCAGGCAGAGGAGAATGTAGCAGCCTGCCTAATGAATTGTTCCCATTGTTCTTAATGAATTCCCCCAGGAGTATAAAATAGGTGTAAACATTTTAAGGCTCCATTACATTGCCAGAGTGGTGTAAAGGAGCTGTATTGTAAAGGACAGTATGGCCGCATAAATGCTTATGGTGCTTTAATGATTAAAACGGGTCTACATTTTGGACTGAAAAAATGTCCTATCAAAATGTGCTCCATTAACTGTTTGCTATTGACCTTTTTGGAGATGGTCATTAGCCAGTATAAATTGTGAGTTTGAGTTCCCAGCCCTCACTTGCTCTTCCGGTGCCTATGATGTAACATTGAGCATATGACTGCACGTATTTGTTGACTAATAACTAGACGTAAAGAGTCAATACTAGCTACATTACTATTAGACAGAGGGGGTTTGATGATTTCCTCCAATGCTCCCCACTCCTATTCTCCATCCATTGTATTGTAGTTTAAATACATTACCAAAATAATTGAAACTAGCTGGATTATATTACATCATTTTGTCAAAAAAAATGCAGAATTTTAAAATATTGTGTTCAGAATTTTTAGGTTTTTTTGGCACAGAATTCCCCCAGGAGTAACACTATAAACTTACATCCATATAACTATGTTGTGAAAAATCCACACCCCTGAGTGACAGCTATACTAACCTAACCCCTGCTGTAGACAGCGCTATGGTTCTCCCAACATAGCTACCGCCTCTCACAGAGATGGATTAACTATGCCCATAGGAGAAGCATCTTCACTGAAGCACTGCTGGAGGGTTTTAAGCATACCTTTCCCTGTGAGTGGAGAAGCCCAGGAGTGTCCTAGCACAGGGACTGAAATACCCTAAGGCACTAACTGGCAAAGCAGTGTGGGAGTTGCCCAGGTCCTTTATGTTCTGTGGCTAAACAAAAGACTCCATCCTCCAGGGTCATCAAATAGGCCAGCACCTTTCACCAGCATTAAATCCAAGTTAAAAGGAAGTGAGGGAGGCTGGCAACGCAGGATGCCTTGTTGCGAATATAAAAGGCCAGATCTTCAGCTGGTGTAAATCAGCACAGCTCCACTGAAGTCAATGGAGCTAGGTTGCTTTACGGCTACTGAGGACATGGCCCTAAATGTCTGTTTTTATAAAAAAAAAAGAGAAATAGAGAGAAGTAGGAGGAGACCAAGACTTATTAAACAATGTCTAGGTTTGTGTCTGGATCATTTGTGTTATCATCCAGATGTGTGGTTATAACTCACCATTAGCTGATGAAGTTCTTATTGCAGCAGTCTATAAACAATCAATACTCCCCAATGTCTCTCTAGTCCACGGGCTGGCACCACGGCTTGAGTTAGGCGCTAAAAATAAGGGCTGAGCAGCAATTCCCCTCCGGCTACTGCGCCTTCCCCCAAGCCCCCAGCCCTCCCAGTGCCCCGGCCGAGGCGGCAGCAGGAGGCGGAGGGGAAGGGAAGGGAAGCGCCTTTAGCGTCGGTGACTGACGCGGCCCGCAGCCCACCAGGAGGGCGGAGGAGCCGGGGCCGTGCGCCCGGGTGCCCGGCTGGCGCGGAGCGCCTATCAGCGGCGGCGGGAGGCGGTGAGTGACTGGTGGGCGGGGAGCGGAGCCTGGGCGTGTGCCGCTCGCCGCTGCCGGGGCTCGCCGAGCCGCCTCTGGTGCACACACACGTACATTGTCCGAGCGAGCTGCCGCCGCCGCCGCAGCGAGAGAGCGCCCCGGGGCTCGGTGCCAATGCGGGGTGGGCGCTGCAAGCCGGGGGCTTCTCCACCACCCCGGTGGAAAGTTCATCTTCGCCTGGGCCCGCCGCACCATTGATCCAGAGCGGCCGCCGCCGGGGAGGGAGGCAGGATCTGCGGCTCTGGCCGGGAGGGGGGATTTTTTTTGTCTTTTCCCTCCAAACTTTCTGTGCGCGCCTCCCGCAGAAGCCCCCCCCGCCCCCGCCGAGAATTTGCCTCTTCCCAGCTGTCTGCCGTGCAAGGAAAGCCGCCGGGGCGGGCGTGAGCGCTGGTAAGTGCCCCCCGTCTCCTTCCCTTTGAGGGGCTCGGAGGTGGCGGTGCAGCCCCGGGAGTTGTTTTTGCGGGTGGTTGGTTTCCAAAGTACGGGCAGCGGCAGGAGGATGGGGCGGCGGCGGTGGGGGGCTGGTCTCTGCCTGTGCCCCCTCCCTCCCACGCAACCCCCCGGGAATGCTCAGGGTGGCGGGCGTGCAGCAGGCACTGCAGTGGCACGGGCAGCGTGTCCCAGGGAGCATGTGTGCGCGGTAAGGACTGGTGGCTGTAACCGGGCATTGCAGAGCAGAGCTGGCTTTCCTGAGCAGGAGGCGGTGGCGTTGGCTGCTGCTGCTCGGGGGGTCGCTCGCTGGAGCTCCGTTGATCCTGCACCAGTTGTGATACTAGGCTCCAAAGTGAGCTGGGAGGATCACCCCCCCCCTCCGGAGTCGGAAAGCGGGTGCCTTTGATAAAAGTGTGGGGGGGGGAGGTAGGAGGGGGAGATGGTCCGTGTGTGCCTGCCTGGATGCATCATTTTGGGAGGGAGGGAGCACTTGTGTAGGGAGGAGGACGAGGGGGTACGTGTGTTCAGGGCTATGCTTGTGAGGGGGCAGCAGCAATGGGAGGGGTTACATCTGTTGGGGAGAAGGGAGACAACAGTGGGTTGTGTCTGGGAAGGGGCCTCTGGGTTGGGGTGGAAGAGTAGCTTTGGCCTTGGGTGTGTCGGGCTGCACCTGGGGGGAAGAAGGTAGTGAGGGGAGAGGGGGTAGCCACCTGTTGGTGTTGGTGGGGGGAGGCTGCAGTTTTTCTTCCCATGATTCTCTGATCATTTGCAAATTTGTTCCCTCTCCATCCTCCAAAAGCTTTCACTCTTCCCCTTGATTTTCAGCCCTCTTGTTTTGTGAAAATCAGGCCCCAGCAGCCTGCTCGGAGGCCACTGGGTGGTCCTCATACCTCCAGATTTAAAAGCCTCTGTGCTAGCAGAGGGAGATGGTGTCATTCATGTGTGTGTCTAAGCTGTTTGGCAATGGTATAGATTTCTCCTCATGTATGTCCCAGCCCAGCTGCCCTCTCTCAGCTGTGGCACTCCACATCCCTCTGCACCTTTTGCACCAGGGAGAGAGTGGCGACAGGATCTCAGGGCAGCTGCTGATGACTTCTGCGCTTTCTTCCTCTCCGTTTCTTTTCCCTCCCCAAAATGTGACAGGGCTTCCAGATGGGGGAGAATCACCTGCTGGCCTGCCCTCCCAGTCTTACAATGACTCTGCTTTCTGTAAACACTTCCTGCCAGTCCAGAAAACATGGGGAAATAAATGGGAGGGGCCCTGCATCCTCCAGGAGAATACCACAACCTGCTGTCACGTTTCCCTTGCCTATTTTTTTTTCCTGCCTCTCTCGTTTTTCATCTTTCCCAGATCCCTTGGTATCGCTATACTGATGCCTACAGTGATATCACTGTCGGCAGCAGCTTTAGGGAGTGGTCTATGATGATAGCACAGCAAGACTTCTAATAGCTGAGCCTGGGTGGCCACTGTTCTTTCAGTCATCATGTGCCATTGAATTGGTGCAGTAATAATAACGCCTCTGAGTGCCTTTCGTTCCAGAGGGTCCTGCAACCCGTTACAAAGCAGGGGCTAATACAGAGGGTGGGGTGGGGGGCAGAAGAGAGGAGTCTCTCTAGGATTCTTCTGCCTTCCAGGGTGCGTCTTGCTTTCTAGTCTCAAGTATTATACCGTGGCCACACACAGGTAGAGGAGGGATGGACACAGCTCCCAGTGCAGTGTCACTTGAGAATAATGCCATGAAAACACTTTCACCCTTCTGTAGTGCCAGGGTGAGGCTTGCTGTCTCTGCAGTTGGGAGGGAAAGCCAAATGGAAGTCCGAGCTGGGATTAGCAAACTGAGTGGCTGATGGTCAGCTCTTGAAATGCCTTGTACAGCGTTGAACATCATAGTGGGGCACATGCTGGGGTACTGAGGCTGAGATTTTCAAAGAAGCCTAAGAGAATTAGGTGCTGATCTCTCTTAGACCTGGCTTACACTCTCAGTTGTCCACTACAGGTGTGCTTTTAAATGGACTTAAACAGGCACAAACACTTGAGTGGATACACTCTTTGTATTGGGCTAGGGTGAGCAGATGTCCCGATTTTATAGGGACCGTCCCGATTTTAGGGTCTTTTTCTTGTATAGGCTCCTATTACCCCCCCACCCCTGTCCCAATTTTTCACATTTGCTGTCTGGTCACCCTATATTGGGCTGAGCTTGTCTTATATCAATTTAGCTCGCGTTGGTAAATTTTACAGGTGTGAGCAAAATTGATATAACCTGTTTTAAACTGATAGAAGCATGTCCACAAGGGGTCTGCCCTGGTGTAATGAAAGAGTTATTAAAGGAGCCTTAGGCCCCTTTGAAAACCACAGCCTAAATGCACAAAATAAGCAAGAAAATTACGGGCCCAAGCGGGGACTGGCTGGCTCCAGGGGTTGGTGTTGAGATGCACAGATCCTTTATATGTCTAAGACCTTGTCTACACAGGGGTTTTAGCCAATGATGTTGCACTGCTTCAACATCCCCACCCCGGCAGAGATGCATTGCACTTGTGTAAACAATGACTTGCATTGATGCAGCATATGAGGTCATAGAGTTTAAGGCCAGAAGGGAACACTAGATCATCTAGTCTGACCTGTATATCACAGGCCACCAGCATCCACCCACTAAACCTAACAACTGAAACTAGACCAAAGCATTACAGTCCATAGGACACGACTATTATGTGCCACAGGCAGAGAATAGGAGGGACTGAGGTGACCAGTGCCAGAGGCCTCTACAATGTCAGGGAATTGACTAAGAGAGAGAGATCCAGTTAATCCTGGCAAGTGATTTGCACCCTATACTGCAGGGGAAGGGGGGGGGGAACCCCAAGGTCATTGCCAATCTGACCTGGGGGAAAATACCTTCCTGACTCCATGTATGGCAATCAGTTAGACCCTGAGCATGTCAGCAATAACCAGCCAGTTAAACATGTGACCAAGGGAATGCTCAGTGCCACCCCAGAGGCCTGGCCCATCCAGTCAAATGTCCTATCTCTTGATGAGGCCATCTCTGATGCCTCAGAGGAAGGAGACCAAACTGCTACCTACTTCCAAGAATACACGGGGTGGGGTGGGCGGAGGAGGAGAATCCCTTCCTGACCAGGGTGGATTGATTTAACTCACCAAGTGGAAAGTCTTGATTTAAATTATCAATTTTAATCAACTTTTCCATTTGGACTTCATTTATGTTCTAAAGACAGATTCATTCTCATTGGTGGATATCACTATTAAAACATGTTGATTTACAACTAAATAGAGCCTTTACATTAGATTTGGTACGTCTTTTTGCTATCTAGGGAGGTACACTGTAACTACGCTTATTTAAGCAAGTACGTACCTTTATATTTTCAGATTCTTCATTGTACATTTTTAGTAAGTTAGAAAATGGTGAATGATATATTGCTTATTTACTAGATCATGAACTTTTTGCTTGTGATTTGTGTAGAGCTGCATTAGGATGGTCAGTGGAATTTAATTGCACACAAAACAGCATATAAAATTTATTTCTATTAAAACAACCTTAAATGTTTTGAATACATTAACTTCTGTTATCAAAACGTGTTTCACATTTACAACTTATTTATTAAACAGAGGGTTTGACTGTAGTCAGGGGGGAGGGATAGTTCAGTGGTTTGAGCATTGGCCTGCTAAACCCAGGGTTGTGAGTTCAATCCTTGAGGGGGCCACTTAGGGATCTGGGGCAAAATCAGTACTTGGTCCTGCTAGTGAAGGCAGGGGGCTGGACTCGATGACCTTTCAAGGTCCTTTCCAGTTCTAGGAGATGGGATATCTCCATAGTCAGTAGATTAAACTGATCATTCCAGGTCAGTCTGGGAAAATTTTCAAATATGCCTAAGTGAAAGTGACTGAAGCTTAAATTCCTACTCAACTAAGTCTCTTGAAAATGAGTTTCCCAAGATACTTAGGCTGTCCTTCAAACTTTTAAAACTAGTAGATCTCATCCCCTTCCTCCTTGGTCTTTATTCATAGACTGGAAGAGAGAGACAAGTTTTCCTACTTTTTTTTTCAACTCTGAATCGGTTTCTCAACTTTGAATGAATTAGTCCAAATGAAGAAAATATTTTTCTGTGCCTGCAGAGGAGGTTACTGCTGTCAAAAGCTGGTTTAGCATTTCAAGAAACTCTGATTCCAGGTGCGTAGCTAATAACTTCCACCAGTTCAGTAGTGTGACTTTCTTTAAAACATCAGCAAGCATGACATGTACTGCTTGAATGTTTCACATCCAGCCCTGAAATTTATTATGGTCGGCACAATTGATGGGTGATTGGATGCCCGTGTCATAGCAGCAGCTTCTTCAGTAGTTAGACATCTATCCTGATGCTTTGGGTTGAAAATATTGGCAAGAAAATGAGGTGGAGTAAGTGCTCGATCCATCTGCTGCTTTGCTGCTTGCTATTTAACTTTGTTGTTGGGTAGTTTTTTCTCCAGTACCTTTTGAACTTCTTTCCAGATTCAAAAGGATCAGCAATATAGCAGCAGTCTTTCTGCAGTTTGTCCAAGGCTATGGAAATATGCTGAAACCTATCTTCTACTTAATCCTGACCCTGGCAGGTGACTGCCTGAACCATAAATCAGGAGGGACCGTCAGGGTTGCCAAGCCCTGCCCCCACCATCACAAACAACCGCATCATACTAATCCACTCATAAATTTGTCCAGCTCTCTTGAAACTCATTAAGTTGAATCAGCAGGTCCAATCTAGTCTGGGTCAATGGTAAATAACCAGTCTGATGGCTTTTCATTGGTCTAGCTATCTTACTGCAGTCCCTCACTGTCTTTTAATGTATTTATCCTCACAGCCTCTCTGTTATCCCTGTTTTACAGGTGGGGAACTGAGACACAGAGTGGCTAAGGCCCAAATCCTCAAAGGTATTTTGACTCCTAACTTCCATTGAAATACCTTAGCTCTCT